CGTTAGTAAACTTTTTTAAATGAATCTCCCTAACGGCCGACAAAATCAAACAAACAGGCGCTACATGTTTAGAAAAACTAGTGCCATGAAATCATAATATAATTTTTGACTAACCTTTCTGATGATTGAGCAAGCGTTGAGATTGCATTTTTGTTTATGTCTTTCAAACGTTTGAGGCTAGAACGCGAGCAAATCAGGCAGATATTACTAGACTTGAACAACTGACCTCTGACACGAGTTTGAAATTAGAAAATATGTTTTTAAAGCCTAGCGGAACGAGATTTTCGGGTTGCGAGGCGGCCCAGCTAGCGATAAAATCGCGATAAGTCTTCGAACTGCGAGCCAAATTTTTATATAAGACGAAAGACTTCTTTGAAAGTCTAAAATATTACTTGAGAATATAAACAACAAATCTCTGTCGGCGGTGCGGTCCGGAATGAAATCTTGTCGAGTCAATATGACATTTCTATTGTCTTTTGAAGAAAAAACAGATGACGCTCGCGCGTGCGCATAATCGGGACACTGTCCCTTTAAAATATTCAGTGAATGATATGGCCGTTAACGAAGGACCAAAACCGTCATGAGTCGTGAGAGTGCAGATTTTGTCGGGACGAATAAAGCACTTTAGACACTGTAGCTTGCACGTCGTTTTGATCATGATTGTGACTGGCAGTTGCACTGGTTCATATCGAGAGCATACTAGCATATCATAAGTACAAATGCTAGTGTGAACAGAACTAATCGAGTAAGCCATGCTTAACGTGCTCGGTCAATTCTAACAACCTCTGACATACACAATGAACTCTATTGAACTCATTATTCTTTAAGACCTCCGAATGCGTTAAAAGAATTTAAGTTTATATTTACTCTGATCATTTTTTTTACTGAGTCCAAGGAAAATATTTTTCGATAAATTCCTCTTACAACCCGTATCCTCTCTTGATCCGTCTATTGACTTTAGTCGGTAAAATGAGTGAAATGATTAAGTCTGGATCCGGCTCCACTTTGTAAGTTCTAACTATTTTATGAAAAAAAAAGTAAGCGGGCAAAATGGCGAATGGATACATGTTTGAGGTATTGTCCTAATGACGCCAACTGGACGCGCAGTCTTTAGACGAAAACATAGGACCCAAAACAACGTTAAATAGCCCAACTACACTGTGATTTAACCTGTACGAAACTCAATAAAAAGATAAAAGCGCATAAACGGAAGAATAAAAAGGTTAACTTTACCCACCTGGAAAAATCGCTAACTGTAACATAACCAGCAAAATTCCAACGCGTTGGGCACACATTTCCGCAGATTTCTGATCACTAGTTTTTAAGTTTTTTCACTTCACAAATATATTCAGAAGTTCTATCTATAATCCAGTGCGTATAGCTAGCAACGAACTGTATATAGAAAATGGTGAAATAGTTGTAACTGGTATTATATTTCCACGTGATGTCTTTGTTTCTTTGAAATCCGCGCTGTAAAAGAACAAGACACGATCCGAGTAAAATGCCCAGTTCATAACAG